GGAGACGCCTTCAAATTTGGGAAAGTATATTCATTAGCAAACTCTCTCCAGCCCGAAACAGACAAGCAAGTCCTTGTACAGTCCTAGAACTATTAGGTGGTGGGCGGTGAGCACTGTTGATGTAATTGTTGCAATAGTGCTCTCATTGTGCCTTTGTAGTGTTCCCATTATGAATGCATGTTATATGTATTAAGGTGAAAATTTGATTATATCTTGCTTCAAGTAGCCATGCTTCATTTGGGTTCTCCGTACCAAAAGATGGCTTCCAAAAGTGGTGCACAAATGTTTATCCTTTAAATATATATATATATATATATATATATATATATATATATATATATATATATATATATATATATAGATATATATATCTCTCTCTCTCTCTCTCTCTCTCTCTCTATCCTCTCCTTCTCTCTCTTCTCCTCTCTCTCTCTTCTCTCTCTTCTCTCTCTCTCTCTCCTCTCTCTCTCTCTCTCTCTCTTCTCTCTCTTCTCTCTCTCTCTCCTTCTCTCTGTCCTCTCTCTCTCTCTCTCTCTTTCTCTCTCTCTTGGGAGAAAAAATGAGGGAAAAAATCTCTTGGGAAAAAAAATTGGGGAGAAATCTGCTTTTTTGCTTATTTTCTTTAAGTCTGGCCACTGTTCATTGGTCAGCCCCCCCCCCCGCAACTAATTTTGTTAAAGTACGCTACTGGGATATGCACTGCTCTATATCAGGCAAACAAATATGCTTCGTTTTAATGGGGCGGTGCCCATCGGGCTGCCCTATCGGAACCAGTTACCAGGCTTGGGGCCAAGCCATTTGGCCAAATTACACAATTTACTCCTATTTCATTTTTCGTCCTTAGATTTAGATAGCAGCGCCTTCCGTGGGATAGAGTGCTACCCCATCTAAGGTACGATTTTTGCGTGAATCACGGGCGGAGCGCGAAAATTTCGGTCTGAGTTTGGCGCCACACCACTTTTTCAACTCAGCTAAGTCATCGCATCTACATCTGCAATCAACAACATAATCCTGAGCTTAGCTGCAATATAATCCAATATATCATATAATAATCCAATGCTCAGCAATACTCAGTTGTGTTCAACAACTCGTGATGAACAATGCACATTGGCGAAAGATATGCTCGAACCTAACTTTTGAACGGTACAAATTGATGTTGAATGAATATCGGAAACATTATTTCACGATGGGTGTTCTCGCGCACCAAGCACTCGCCCTTTGGTTTTAGCTGCATCACCCAACGTCGCCCGGTTTGATGGAAACTGCAATTTCTGCCATCGGTGTCCTCGCTCGCTAGATTGCGAGCACGCAGGCTAAAGAATGGTTCATGTAATTTGTTTCATATAAGTAAATTTGGAGCAATGATGAAGGTCCTCGTTTGGATTGGCCTCTTTCATTTTTGGTCTCGTTTTGATCCGGTCCATTCAACATTAAGAAAGTCCCTTACTTTTGCGGGCAAAGACTCAGTGAGTAGAATACTAGGGGGCACGTCATGTTTTACGATCGGAAGCTAAGCGGCCATTCCATTACAGCGCGGGGTGTCTGCCGGCTGCTATACTGGCGAAACGGGGGCGAGGCGGCAACGTCAGTACGAAAGAGAGCCAGCTGTACTTAACTGAACATGGTACCACAGTTGTCATTATATTTGCCTGTTTTACCTGTGAAGCAACTAACAGAAGTATTTACAATGGTCTCAGGGATGTCAGTTTTTGGAAGTGTGTGTGGGGTGGGGGTGGGGGGGGGGAAGCCGTAAGCTCAATGGCCTTTCCCATTCTCAACGGACTTATTTTAACGGACGATTTTATTGTAACTAAAAACAATACATATTTTAAAGTTTATGCATTCTTAATGTATTTAATTTAAGCCACATAGTAATCAAGCAGGGCGCGGATCCAGGGGAGAGCATTGGAAGCATGTTCTACTTCTGATCGGAAAGTGAAGGTGCCCGTCTGGAGGCCTCCTTAGGGCACCGAAGGCACGGTTCAGTGGCAGCCATGGGCGGCGGCACGTATGTTTGGTTGTGGAGGGCGGGGACGGGATGTGTCATGAAATACTTAGGTCATTCCCGCACTCCGGATCTTCTCAGTTTAACCTCTCAAACCTTTGCGCGTCTTATGGCCCGAGGTGTGTGTGGCAAATAGTATCGTTAACCGCTCATCAGTTACGATCTTTATCTGGCGTCGAGAGCAAGCAAAACGTTTTATTACGAGGTGGGGTGTTCAAGTGATGATGGTACACTTCCCTGTACAACAATCTTGCATGTTCTGTGTCTATGCGATGGTAAACATCGGCTACAATAACGGATCCATTTTCGTGCTTTGGAATTAAGCCATTCGCCCAAATTGAACAACCAATTTGTGTAACAACTCCACCAACTTTTTTTTTGTTTCCCTGCATATAGGGCACAGCGCTCCACCCAGGTAAAATAGTGCCTCTTTATTTAGTTAGATTTTTGCGTGGCACGCGAGCGGATTATGCCAATTTGGGACTGAATTCGGCGTCGCACCAAATGTTCCAATTCAACTATGACATCGATAGTTGTAATCAATAGCATAGTCATAAACAACAGTGCTCATCACTTTGAACAATACCTGTATGAGATTGAGGCTAAAGTCAACTGCTTCAGTTGGATACATATAAATGCACCATCAAAAAATGGTTAGGCTGATTTTGATGTAATTGCGGCGTAGAAATTGCATGTGATATTATGAATAAGACCACCACATTTATGCTGATTATTAAATTGTTTTTGCACACCTGAGGTGCGCATAAACTTCCGTTGAATTGAAGTATGCCATATTATGTAGGCAATTTATGTATTGGGTGGGCTAGTTCTTCATCTCATAGCAAAGTGATGACTGACAAATGTACGGAAAAGTTAAATCTCAATACATCAGATTGCGCATTATTAAATGGCGTCATTATCTGCTGCACGCGGCGATGCGCTCTTAATTTGCAGTCAGAAAGCTCGATTAAATCCAGAGACGTTGAACTCCTGTAAATTTCTCACGTCGATGGCCAGCGCGCCGCGCCAGCAGTTATCACGGGATGCTCTGAGATCTCAGAGTACCGGTATTTCGACATTCAGAAGGGAATTCCTCCATAAAGGCCTCAGATTGAAACCCTCTTTGATCCGTCGCCAGAACCTACCCCGGAGAGGCCGCGGTGCGGAGTGCACCGAGAGACCGTTCCTCACGTCCCACGTCGTGCTCGCCCCGGGGTGGGACGTTCGCTTCGTCGTGCATGCGCGTAACTCGGCTGCGGCACCTGAGGTGTTTGGTTCGGCTCTAGCGGCCGGCCGCGGCTCAGCCGGGTTGGGGTCACTTGGCGAGAGGTTCCCGAACGGTTCCCGAGGTTGCGAGAGGTTCCCTGTGGTGTCGGGTGCGACCAGGCCCGCGCCTTAAGCAGAACGGCGTCCGCGCCCCTTCCCGCTCGTGCGCACAACACCGATAACAGCGATAAGTGCGTTCCGCGCCGCAACTGGTGAAACACTTGGCACTCACTACATTGTTAAAAGAGCACAACATAACAATTATGAGACACTGGCCTCAGGATTCGAAATGAGGATCAAACTTCCCGCTGACAAAGCCCCGAAACGCGTCAAAGACGTAACAACAATACCGCTGTTCAAATAATTGTGTCATGCACTTACCAGAGTTGGGCCATGCGTGACCGCTTTCCAGGTCAAAGATGATATCTTTTAGCAAAAGTAGTCGGTGAAGGGGCAGTATACAGTCGCCTTTCAGCGAACCTGTTGGCTGCAATGCGTAACATGCTCGCAAAAAAAACGCCATGCATGCACCCGAATCGTCGTGGCGGCAGCCCAACTTCGGTAGAGCGCCGAAGCTACACTGACAACTTTCGTGATATGGAGAAGCGTGTTGTCGTAGGTTGGCCTTCCAGAAGTGTTTTTATATGACCCGTCAAACAGAGCAATATAAAAACACTTCTGGGAGGCCGTCGGCTTGAAAGCATCAGCCTGGTTCCAGGGCGGCCGACAGTTGTGTAATCGCATGACATGGGTAAGGTCCCTTGGTGTTATTCGGATATGGACTGGAGTCAAAATGGATCCGTTGAACTTTTTTGAACGATTTTGTAACTGAACTAGGCCTGTAATCTGAACTAACGACTCAGCTCAAAAGGTACGTAACCCGGTTTTGTTTTCTCGTGAGACATTCCAACAAAGGGACGCAGGTCAACAACGTAAATTCATGTACATATGCATTAATGTACAACAATGTATGGTGCGTAGCTCACCATGAGTAGCAGACCATATGTCGCTTGGCATAGCAGGGTCTCCACACGACAGGCGAATCAGTGGCGACAATATCGTGTTTAGGTTGTGCGGAAAAGGCGTTTGGGCATTTATTTTGTAGACAAAGCAAAAAAGTCAAATATCATATGATTTACCGCAAAATATTGAGTTGCCGTCATTTGAGGAACTAATTCTAAGGTTGCGAGGTCAAGTCAACCCGCTGCACCTAACATGGGGACGCCACTACGAGCAAGAATTAAAAAAGATATTCTTTGCGTAATGGTCATTTTTGCACCGCTTTTGTAACATTTCTGCAAAATATGGCGGGCCCAAGCTGGCACTAGGAAGCTCTATTGGGGGTATTTATTTATACTTGGAGTAGGGCCCTCACAAAACGATACAAATGGACATCCGTGGTTGATACAATTTTGGCCGACCTGTTAAAGTCCTGCCTGTACATAGGTGTCAGACGATTGCGGGGCAAACTCATCTGGGGGGAGGAGCAGATTGGACATGGGCGAGGGTGCAGTAAACCACTCAATAAAGGTCAAATCCACACTCATGCCTAAAGCATTCGGCTGCCGAGATCTCGTCCGGCTATTTCGTGCCCGTTGCGGGAGGCCAACGAAGTGACTCTCCGTGACGTCACGCACCGACACATGCAGAGCGTAAACAAAGGGTCTGGTGAATTTGGCCGGCGTACCGGGCCTTGATGCGACGTGCCCACCGGAATACCCGGCGTGCTGTATGTGGTGCGGTGTGCGCGGGTATGCGTGAAGAACGTCGTTTTATATTTTGATTGTAAGATCGCTGCCTTTTGCTGTAAGTTGTTGATTGCCACTCATCTTCTTTTCTGCTTTTTCCGACGTATGGCCTATGCTTTCGGCTCGCTCTAGGTATAACCCGAATCATCACCAGTGGCTACGTTGCGTGTGCATGCAGGTGCAGGTAAAGCCGGTCAATCTTAATTAGAAATAGCTGTCATCATACCATGCCTGTTGCACAAATGTCTTCATTCAATTTTTCAGATTAAGTAGAAAATTGTGGAATCAAAGAACATTTTGTTGGGCTATAAAAGATATGACTGATGACACAAACATGAACTGTGAAGATCACGTTACTAGTACAATCTGCAGTCCTTGTGAAGAAATGAATTAACAGTGAAAAAACACTCACTAGCTCTATGTACGCGGCATGTGTTTTGCCTGGTAGCTCGGTTGTCATATGTTAGCTCACCTGTATGTATGTATTTTATAGCATATAACACCACATATATTTTACAGGTTGTGCATGTATTTTAAAGGATGGCAGGCTACCTATCATATGCATGTCACAGGATCACAGGTTATATCACCTGTATCACACACCACTTGTGTTTGCCTACTTATGGCACTGAGCTTGAGCTACAAATGATGTTTTTTCCTGATTGGGAGGACTTTTAATGGAAGTGGTTAAGGCAGTACTGGTTTCCAGGTAAATTTGCTGTTAAAATCCTGATGGTATCATTTCAACACTACAGACCCTGCTGGTTTTTCTGGCTGTGTAAAGATGTTAAATAGAAATGGAGTGCTTAGGTACAACTTATGATAGCATTATGTCATTGTAAAATGAAAAAAAAACAACTAGAGAAAGAGCAGATGGTTTGCTGGAATTCACCTGCTGGTGTGTTGATGTATAGAATCACTTTTTTAAGCCTGGACAGCAGGGACCTCCATTTGGTGCATCTGTGACTTCTGCTTCATAGGTGGCAATGTGAGCTGTTGACAGAAAATTAATTCAGGTAATGTAGAGCACAGTGTCATTGTGCAGGATTATGACACCAAATCTGAGGTCAACTAAAAAATCATGGGGCATTGGGGTTGAGAAAAGATTGTTTTATTTGCTGAGAGTAGTTTTCCCTTATTGACTACTTGAGAATATTCTGGGAAAATAGGCAGGAGCCATACAAAGCACTTTTCTATTAGATAATGAAAGCTGCATTTTATTCTTTTTTTGCTTTCACCATGTAGGCCTGGAAAAATGGCCTTGCTCTCTTCACATGACAACTGCAATTTGAGGCAGTTTGTCAGAATGTGCTGATCTTCAGGAAATACCTAGCTAAGTACAAGTGGTCTTGGTAAAAATTACATTTCAGCCACATTATTCAGAATACCAAATGTGATGTGTGTCTACCAGCATGTGTGTCTGTTGGTTCCAGTGCCACCATGCAGCAGCCTCATTGCAGTGGAGACTCCTTGTCCTTTGCTCACTATACCTTCAACCCAGCACCAAGAAGCATATATCCTCCATTCATGTATCCTGTGGTGAGCCGAGTGCAGCGTGCATGTTGACACCATTTGATGTATCTTGTTTTACCATACCAGAACATTTGTGATGTGTTGGAGTATGGTTATGATAACATTAGTGGGTCATGTTTGTCTTTAAATGCCAAAGTAATGTGCCTCTGTGCTCTGCTTGACTGTAAATGCCACTGTAAATGAGATGTACCTCTGTACCTGTACCTAATGTACCTCTTTCTCATTAGACATATTTTGACTTGCACATCTCATTTGCCAAGCATGTATGTGTGTGTATGTGCATGTGTGTTTGAGGACCTAGTATGCCCATATTGATTGGGTGCACAGACAGCACTCACACCGTTCTGTGATGTATGCCAGATGCCGCGGAAAAAGACACAGCCGGCGATGATCGGCGAGGAGCTGAGGATCGCCGTTACCCTGGCGCTGCAGAACTTCCGGCTGCAGGAGGACCAGGCCGGTAACTAGACTCGGTCCGGCCGTCAGTGTCCGCCGGCGCCGGCGCTTCGGTCGCCTGGGACACCTTGGGCTCATGTTTTTCCCTCTCTGATCTGGTGATGCCGCCGCTCATGCAGACCGCCGTGTTGACGCCAAGGGGGGGGGGGGGCGGGTCCCAGGCAGGCTGTGCTGTGCTGGCGGCGGCGGACTTGCACGTTGAGGTACGCTTTCATCCTACGGATGTGGGGTGGTGGGTCTGTGGCTGTTCTCTGTGCACCTCTAAGGTGCTTCTCGCCAACATGCCGAATTGGGCAGCCCTGCCCTTATCGCCAGAACGTGACCTGAACCACGGAAAACTAATAAAGGCAGTCTGTCACTGGACCATGTTACCTGCATTGAGCACATCACTTCCGTGTTATGAATGCATTCTCTAGTCAATACTAAACGTGGTATTGGTCCAGTTCTAGTTCGCCGTGTGTGCCATTGTCGTGCAATGCTATCTCTCCACCGGGCTGTTTCAGAAATCGAATTTCCCTCTTCGCTCACATCCACGGAGCGGGCGTACATTCACAAACTGGCTGACTCTACTGGTCTCAAGTCAAAAAGTCGAGGGTAAGGAACACAACACATCGTCCAGAGGCGTTTGATGCTTTTCGCCGTCAGACAGTAAATATTGCAATTCGTCCTTTCTGTCTGATGTGTACTTGGGCTGCCATAGTGGTGCGGCAATTTGCGCTTGCGGTTTCCGAGGTGTTGTGCGTTATGTTGCTGTGCAGTGTTGTGTTGTGTAGGTATCCAGGTTTATTTGCGATGTGGACTTATTCCCTTCTTGCCCTTCATTGCCTTGTTAGAGCAGTGGCTTCAGTAATGCATTGATTCCTGTATGCATATCGAACCATATGTATGGGTTCATCTAATACATTGATAGTCGTCTGTACTGGAAGAGATTTGAAGCAATGTGTTAATACTGTGCAATGTTCATTAGTTACATTAGATCCATCAAACCAGCGCACTGCAGATGTGCCAGCGCAGCCACTAGGGTTCTCTCAAAACTACTAGTAATCGCACGTTACGGCTGTTAGACCGCACACTCCATATTTCTGCAATCCCGGCAGATATCGCCACGACTGACAACTTACCCTTTCCTGCGCTTGCCTGTCGCAGGAAGGCGGCCAACCGGTTCCTGACCGTGTATAAGAAGAACGGCTCGAGCATCGTGCAGGCGGACGCAGTGTTCCAGCTGGTGCGCATGTCCCGCCACCATGTGAGCTCCCTGCTCTCCAAGTTCCCTGTGACCAACCGCGAGCGCCAGGAGCTGCTGCCCCCCACCGAGCGGGACCGGCTCCTGCAGCCGGAGGGTACGTCGGCGGGCGGGCGGCCTGCGGACCGGCCACCGGGCCTGTCGTGTCGTGGGGGCTGCAGCGGGGATGCTGCCTCCTGCCTGGCATGTGATTGGGGGCACGTCTTCAGGTTTGCTGGGGCACGAGTGTTGGCCTGTGCTGTTCTTGCTACGGTCGGTTGGTTAGTCGTAACTGAGGCTAAGTCTTCGCTGCTTGCTGTTTTTGGATGTGGTCTTACCGGAGTACATCCGCAGAGATCTCACTTCAAAAGTGACGCTGAAAATTGTGAATCGTTGCATTACCATTTCCATTACGATTCCCGAAGTTTCAATTTTTAGAGCATCCTTTTCTGGCGAAGATTGCTGACATAAGCATGGCCCTGAAGCCCGTCATGCGTTGTTGTGTGTCACTCATTCCTCGTTGGAGAATGTCAGTCCTCCCCGAACTCTGCGCGGCTAAAATCGCGCGCCGTTTCGGTGTCGCCATCACGACACTCGCTGGACGGCCCTGACTGGCCGGTGATCGGCCGTGACATAACGAAGTCATGGTGACCTATCTTGACCCGCTGTGTCCCGCCATGCCATGTGCGCAGCGGGCCGGTCGGCCATCGGCACTGGTGGTCGGCGTCCGGTGTGACACCGTTTACTCGAGGTGACCCCGGTGACCGATCCATGCCTCTGGCGCCGGTGCGGCTGACTGTCGGATTCCGCTGACCCGTGTATGACCCTGGTGACCTATGTGTGACCCCGATGACCTTTGTGACCGATGACCTGTATATGACCAAGGTGACCTTTGTGTGACCCCAGTGACCTGTGTATGACCCCGGCGACCTGTGTATGACCCCGGCGACCTGCGTATGACCCTGGTGATCTGTGTACGATCCCGGTGACCTGTGTATGATCCGGTGACCTGTGTATGACCTCGGTGACCTGTGTATGACCCCGGCGACCTGCGTATGACCCCGCTGTTTTGTGTATGACCCCAGTTATATATGTATGACTCCGGCGACCTGTGTATGACCCCGATGTCCTGTTGATGACCCCGGTGACCTGTTTTTGACCCCGGTGACTTGTGTGTGACTGCGGTGACCTGTGTGTGACCCCGACTGACCTCGCCGCCGACAGTGCGGGACGTGAACCGGGCGACGGGCCGGCTCAACAGCGGCATCCCGCAGGTGCCGTGTGCGCGCGGCGGTGGGGAGCTCAGTCGCGCGGGCCAGGAGCTGCCCATCTGGCCGCTGCGCGACGAGATCCTGCGCACCGTGGCGCAGAATCAGGTCACGCTGCTGGTCGGCGACACCGGCTCCGGCAAGACCACCCAGGTGCGACTGGCCGGCGCAGACATGTGCTGATGTGTGGCGCGGGCGTGCCGTGTGCGGTGCTCAGGTAGGCGGGTGCGGCGTGTGAGCCGACCGGACGGTGGGGTCTCGTGGCAGCAGCAGGGCTTCAGGTGAGGGCACAGCTTGAGGGATATTTTAGCGTCGTCGGTGAGAAGGAGGCAGCTGGATTACATGACAATTAAGAGGGTGTTGGTGAATCGAGAAACCAGACGCGGTGTTAACGTGACGTCTCATTGACACCGGGGTAGCCAATAATTTACTACGGGAAGTGTTAACTTTGACATTGCTCCTCTGCAACCTGTCAGAGATTTACACAACGAATCATTTCAGAACAAAGTCCTGTAAGTGAAAGGATTGATTGGGTTGATAGGGATGAGCTGACTGGCAACGCTTTGATAAGCGTATGAATGGTATATGGATCACCGAGATGTGATATCTGTTTGGTATCCATGCTAACGCTTTAAAAATCATGTGAATGATGACTGAGTCACCGAATGTGGGACCCATATGGTATCCTTGCGACATTGTAGTACAGGTAAGCCGCTTAACTCGGGTTGCACAAACGCTTGGTAAGAAGCCATCTTGTCCAGCACACAACACGGCGGTAGGTGTGCAGCTCATCGCGCACTTTACTTGTAGACGCCCTCCTGACGACAAAGATAGAAAGGTCAACGATCTGCAATTTGATGGTTCTTTGTTGTCTCCCCATCATTAAAAGATGAGGATATATGCTTATTTATATTGCTGCTGGGAATGCATCGGTAATGACAGACAACTTGCATGCTTTGACGAGGATAGCGCCGATTTGGTAGGCACACGCCATGGTGATGCGGACGTCTGTATCGCTTACTTTACTAGGACTGATTGCTTCCAGCGCTGATCGTGCATTTCAGGCATATACAACTGACGACGAGTAAGCTGAAGTGAACGCGCTCGCGAACTGTGACGTATCCAGGACACTCACTGTGCTATGGTCGGCTTCGCTCTCCTTACATCGGCGGCGCCCCGTGGCCGGCGCGCCCGCTGCGGCCGGGCTGTCCGGTGTCTGGAGCTGCGTCCTGACGCGGCGCTGGGGGCCGCAGGTGCCGCAGTTCCTGCTGGACCAGTACCAGGCGGCCGGCCGCCCGCTGCGCATCCTGTGCACGCAGCCGCGCCGCATCTCGGCGCTGACCGTAGCCGAGCGGGTGGCGGCCGAGCGTGACGAGCAGATCGGCCAGACGGTCGGCTACCAGATCCGGCTGGAGAGCAGGTGCGGCCCCGGACGGCGCCGTCTGGCCGAGTCGCTGCTGCCGGCCGGCGACGGGTCGGACCCGGCGGCGAAGCGGCCAGATGGGACCGCCGAGCGGCCAGATGCAGCGGGACAGGGGGTCAAGTTGACCAGGGAGCGTATGATCTGGACTGGGTAGACGCAGATGTGTCGAAAGAGCACCAGACCCGGGCGGGCCGCCATGTTGGGCTAGGGAGCGGCTACAGGGATTTGAATCTAATTATTGGCACCAGGAAGTCATTGTGCATGTGATACGATAGTGTGGGGCGGAGAAGGGGAGTGGAGTTGGGTGTGGGACGATGTGGGGCGCGGCCGAATCCACACGCTGCGCTGTGACCGGCCAAGCGCGGTTTCTGACGGCGTGTATCGCCCCCTCCGGCCAGGGTCTCGCCGAAGACGCTGCTGACCTTCTGCACGAGCGGCGTGCTGCTGCGCACACTGATGGGCGGCGACGGCGCGCTGGCCACCGTCACACACGGTGAGAGGCCGGACCCGGCGGACCGTGGCCCGGCCTGAGAGGGGAGAGAGGAGAGGCGTGTTGGAGCGGAGCCGATATGGCAGCTGACGCGGACGGGACGTACCGGGTCACTGCCTGCCGTTGGCCCTGGTGTCAGGGCTCATCCGGGAGTTTGCTGTTGTGTCGTGGCGATACTGCTGGGACGTTTGCCAGGTCAAGCTCGTAGCTGGCAGCCAGTGGGTCGTGTGTGGGATTATGCGCGACGCTTCAACGACAGTGTGCTCGACTGATCGACGCTGGCGTGGTCAGCTAGGGTGGCGTGGTGCGGTCGCTCACTCGCACCGTCGCCCTCCGAGGGCCAAGCCGCCGACGTGACGCGCGTGTTTGCCCCGCGGCAGTGATCGTGGATGAGATCCACGAGCGGGACCGCTTCGCCGACTTCCTGATGGCCGTGCTGCGCGACAGCATCTCCAAGTACCGCAACCTCAAGATCATCCTCATGTCGGCCACCATGGACACGCAGCTGTTCGTCAAATACTTCCACGTCTGCCCCGTCGTCAAGAGTGCGTGTGGCGCCCGCCCTGTGTATGGGATGACGGGGGGGGGGGGGGGGGGAGCATATGGGGTTAGGATGATGTGGGGTGGTTGGTGCGGCGGGAGTGATAAGACGCGGGTCGGCCGTGCGTCATAGTCGCGGCTGTGGGGGATGATTCGTTTTTAATGTGCTGGCTAGTGTCTGCAGTGATTCGGGCATAACCCTCCAGCACAGAGACTGATTCACATAACAAATATTGCAGCTCGAGGTGATGAGGTTGCTAGATTTCCGACAATGGGCTGCATTTGCACTCCTTTCTTCTAGCAGAGCTGCCAGATCTGCATTGACCAGACATTATTTGGAACCAGCGACACCTAAGTTACCTCTGCCCTCTGAGGCCACTCGTTTGTAGCTTGCCTCGCTGAGCACGCTGCGCGCTCTGCAGCCGTCGTGGTCGTACGCTCTGCTTCCCTTCGCGCTGTGTCTTCGCCTGTCCACCTCTGCGCTGCGGCCGCGTCTTCACTCGCGCTCCTCGTATACAGTCCCGGGCAAGATGTTTGAGGTGAAGGAATACTTCCTGGAGGACGCGCTGCGCGACACGGGCTTCACTTCGGCGGCCATGGAGCGCGTGCGCGCCGAGCTGCGCACCCAGCAGGCGCTCAGCTCGTGGACCGAGCGCGCCAACGAGAAGCCGGCGGCCGGCGCTGCCGCCGCGCTCGACCGGCCCAGCATCCCGGCGCCGATCCTCGGACAGCAGTCAGAGGTGGGGCTGGAGCGGTGGCGGCGGGCCGGAGCCGGGCCGGAGCCGAGGCTGCGGCTGGGCTGGATTGGGCTGGACTGGACTGGAATGGAATGGAATGGAATGGAATGGACTGGACTGGACTGGACTGGACTGGACTGGACTGGACTGGACTGGACTGGACTGGACTGGACTGGACTGGACTGGACTGGACTGGACTGGGCTGGGCTGGGCTGGGCTGGGCTGGGCTGGGCTGGGCTGGGCTGGGCTGGGCTGGGCTGGGCTGGGCTGGGCTGGGCTGGGCTGGGCTGGGCTGGGCTGGGCTGGGCTGGGCTGGGCTGGGCTGGGCGAGACTGGACTGGAGCTGACGTGCCGGTGGTAGTACGGGATGGGGCTCAGGCGGGGACGGCTGCTGTAGCCGTTGTGGTAATAGGAGAGCGCTCCATGTCCCATCGGGAGCCACCAGTCGCCCCTCGCCGGAACATATCCGGCTCACCGGAGCGACATCGGCTGCTAGTCGTCAGTCGGGGTGCGCCGCTCCTCGGCATGGGCAGTGGGCGGCCAGCTCACCCGCCGCGAGGTGTCGCGAGGGGCGCCTGTCCAGCGCGGCCCGGTGCGGCGCGGTGACGGGGGCCGTCCGCGCCGCCAGCCGACGCCCGACCGGACGGAGCTGGAGCCGTGGCTGGTGGACCTTATGGACCGCTGCATCAGCGCCGCCTGGCTCTCCGCCTCGGATGACGCCTTCACCCAGCTGCTGCACCTCATCATGACCGAGAACGTCTCGGTCGACTACCAGGTGAGACGCGCCGGGGGTCACGTGCTGTCGGGACTGCTGGGAGCCTGCCCATCCACCGCCGACAGCTGGTCTGCAGGCTGAACTGTCGTACTACTGGACAGCCATGAAGAAGGCGTGTTGTTCGGAATTTTTGGTAAGTTTTGTGTTTTGCTTTAGCTGATCTAGGATTCAGGGCTCGGCATGAGGTTGAGTGGAGCCATGCTGCACCAGTTCGGTTATGTCACGCTTTGGCCTGATTTCCTGTTTGTTTACCAATACCAATATAGGGCGCGTGTTTCCGTTTGGACTCTGTCTCGTCAGGTCGCTCCCGTGTCCCCTGGTACTGCTCCCTCGTCCCCTGTCACTCTGGCGCGGTAGTCCGTCAGTCCCGTTACGCTGACCTCCCTCGACCTCTCGGCCGGCCGCAGCACTCGGCCACCTCAGCGACGCCCCTGATGGTGTCCGCCGGCCGAGGCAACCTCAACGCCGTGGAGCAGCTGCTGAACCTGGGCGCCAGCACGGCCGTGCGCGCCAGCAACGGCTGGACGGCGCGCGACTGGGCGCTGCGCACCCAGCAGACCGAGGCGGTGGAGCTGCTGGACGCGTACGGGTGAGGACGCGGGCGGGGCTGGGCGGCGCTGGCGACGGCGGATGGATAGCGGGCGGAGCTGCCGGTATACTGGGTCCGCGGCGGCGATCGTGGGCGAGTCTCGGATCACACTTTGGCTCACATAGACAACGGAGCACACCTCGTGGTGGTGCTGACCGTTCAGAGTGGCGGGGGACCCTCCTCGCGCAGTGGCCTGTGTCCGTGTACCCCGCGGACCCTCTGCTGAGCACGCGTCAGTGAGGTGAGACTGGCCTCGTGACGCGGCGTCGTCGTCCGCAGTCCGACGCTGACCGCCGACCAGGAGGCGGCCGACAGTCAGCTGTCGGAGGAGGACCGCCAGCTGCTGCAGTGCTACCAGCTCAGCCACGACGACGAGCGCGTCGACGTGGACCTGGTGGTGGCGCTGCTGAAGCTGATCTGTACCGGCAAGCAGCCCGGTGAGCCGAGCTCGGTGGCGGCATGGCAACCCGGGAGGGCGAGGCCGCGGCTGGCACACTCGGGGATCGGGTGGGCAGCGGTTGTAAGAGCCGGGCTCAGAGGCGGGACAGGCACCCGGGAGGGCGAGGCCGCGGCTGCACACTCAGAAGACCGGGTGGGCGGCGGTTGTAAGGGATGAGGGCATGTTGGATGAAGGAACGCTTGGAGACCGTTGCTCTGTGTGGATGCTCCGTGCAGTGTGCTGTCTTCGACACGCATGCCCGTTATTCGTCACAGAACCCGGAAGAGCTGCAGGGCACGTGCTCCTGTCGTCAGGGCTGCCGTGTGGAGACCAGTAGTTATGGCGTGGATAGAAGATACACCTCACTGCTGAGCCATTGTCAGTACTGGTTCCTGACCCGCGCGCTGGCCATCACTGTCTGTGTTAGTCAGCGTTCGGCCGACAGCGACCCCCGCCGTACGTCTCGTCCCGACCTGACTCCCGGCTGGCGCCGTGTTCCGCCAGGGAGCGCGCTGGTCTTCCTGCCCGGGTACGATGACCTGGTGCGGGTGCGCGAGGTGCTGTCTGAGTCCCGCTGGTTCACCGAGAGCGGACAGCACACCCTGTTTGTGCTGCACTCGAACATGCAGGCGAGTGGGGCGGCCGCGGTCGCTGCGCCGTGGATCTGTTGTAATTCGTTCATTGTCATATCATGTCACTGGGGCTTTACGACGCACTCAGCTGCTGAGGCTACATGGCGTCGCCTGCCTCTCACCCTGGCAGGAAGGGCTGGCACCGCGGGGAATCGAACCCCGTACCTCTGGTTTCCCAGACGTGCAGTGGCTATCGCAGACGCGTTAACCGCTGCACTACCGGCACCCCGTTCATTGTCATGCTTGTACGTTCATTACCTTACGCACTTCTCTTGAAATTTGTTGCGTGATGCGACATTCGACCCGGTCCTGCAGTGTGTTCGGACCTTGGGGCAATACAGGCTCCAAACCTGTCCCCAGTTCGACCCTGACCTGTTCCGCCCCGACTCTGGCCTGTCCCCACCCCAACCCTGACCTGTCCACAATCCGACCCCGATCTGTTCCCGCTTCGACCCTGGCCTGTCCCCATTCCGACCCTGACCTGGCCACACTCCGACCCTTACCTAACCTGTCCCTTCTCCGACGCTGACCTCTCGGCGGCCCCACCTGACCGCGTGCTGCCGGTCGCAGAGCGGCGACCAGCGGCGCGTCTTCCAGCCGGCGGCGCCCGGCACGCGCAAGGTGGTGCTCTCCACCAACATCGCTGAGACGAGCGTCACCATCCAGGACATCGTGTTCGTCATCGATACCGGCAAGGTCAAGGAGGTACGGCCGCGCTCACCGCCGCCGGAAAATGAGCTGATGGAGGCGCTGTAATTTTTGTGTGAGGGGGGCGGGCGTTGTTTGGTGATGGGAGATGCTAGAAAGCTCTCGCCAACTCTACTCGCGCTGTAAGCCTGCTGGTGTTTGGTCGCTGTGGTCGTCAGCGGCCAGTCCGCTCTCACCCCTGGTCGCTCGCTCATCACGCGCCGACGTCGCCGCTTGACCGTGTCGTGGTGTGCGGCCGCCGGCAGAAATCGTTCGACTCGATCACGGGCGTCTCGCAGCTGCGGCCCACCTGGGTCAGCCGCGCGTCGGCCGTGCAGCGCCGCGGCCGCGCCGGCCGCTGCCAGCCGGGCGTCTGCTACCATCTGTTCTCGCGCAGCCGCTTCCTGGCGCTGCAGCCGTACCAGACGCCCGAGATACTGCGGACGCCGCTGCAGGTGGGACGGCCGCCGGCTGGCGGGGTGGCGCTGCTGCTGCTGGCGTTGGGAGGGGGATTGCTCGGGCCGTCGAGTCGAGGCCCTCCGGACGGCGCCACTTGGATGCGTCTGGCGTTGGTGGTCACGCCAGAAAGTGGCGTAGATCAGCGTGTGGGTATTGATTTCGGGAGCCGTCTGCCTGGTTCCGTTCAGGACGCACGTCCAGCTCTGAACACAGTACTTGTGTGGACCGCCATGACGTTGCTAGGCTGGCAGAAGCCCTGAGGGCCGGGGCAGGATCTCGGGTCCTGCGTCCTTCCGAGCCGCCCACCCGTGACTCGTGATCGGGCCGTCCCTGGTCCGGCGATCGACGCTGCGCCCCGACCGTCCGGCAGGAACTGTGTCTGCACAGCAAGATGCTGTCGCCACCCAACACACCGATCGCCGACTTCCTGGCCAAGACGCCCGAGCCGCCGCCGTTCATGGTCACCAGAGCTGCCGTCCAGCTGCTCAAGGTGAGCGGCCGCAGCGACGTGTGATGACGTGACTTGGCTTGGAGGGTTCGCGGAATGCACGGCCGCGTCTGTCGCATCGTAAGCATTTGCGTGTGTTTTCATGGCAGTCATCTAACCGCGCCGATTGTCGTGGGGAACGGCGTATTTTTGGACGGGGAGCCGGGCTTGAACCTCACGCGACCTTCCGCTCGTGGTCGGGAGGTGAACACTCCCTCAACGCAGCTGGGCTATCTCCTACTCCCCTTCGATGAAGATCCGCTCGTTCTGCAGACGAGTGGCAGGCTGCTGTGTCTAGCGCCGCCGCGCTCCGTCCGCAGACGATCGACGCCCTGGACCCGTGGGAGGACGTGACCGAGCTGGGCCACCACCTGCTCGACCTGCCCGTGGAGCCGCGCCTCGGCAAGGCCGTGCTCTACTCCATCGTGCTCAAGTGCCTGGACCCGGTGCTCACCATTGTCTGTTGCCTGGCGCACCGGTGAGGCGCGTGAGCTTGTGTGCACGGCGCGATGGCAGATAGGGGGAGGGCGATACGAGGGCAAGGCAGGGGGCGGCTCGGTGAAAAACCGGCGGAGGGTGGTGCGGGGGAGCGGGTGAGGGTACGGCGCGGTGGCGGACTGGCTTAGGGCAGTACGGGGAAGGGATGGTGGCGCGGGTCAGACCGGCGGAGGGCAGTGCAGGGTACGGGTGGCTGTGCGTTGGCATACCGACGGAGAGCGGTGCTGGGGGGGGGGGGGGGGGGGGGAAGCGAGATGTAACGACAGGGAAAGCGGTGAGTGGGCTTCGAGCTCTCGTAACGGAGACGCAATTCTTTTAACTGCGTTCCATGTATAATTGTCCCGCTGGAAATATAAAGTATGAAAAACAACGTGGGCGTGCATGCCTCAGCTCCAGCCAAATACTGCCCGAGCGGGGCCCTGTGTCGGCGGCTGAAGTAGTACAAGATGTAGTATTGAATGACATATATTGAATGAGTCCGTGTGATCAGCGCACGGCTCGGGTAACGGAGGCGCTGGTGCTGTGTCCCGGCAGGGACCCGTTCGTCCTGCCGGCGGTGCCTGCTCAGAAGAGGGCGGCCGCCGCCAGCCGGAAGAAGCTGGCCGCTGCCACCTACAGCGACCACATGACACTGCTGCGTGCGTTCCAGGTGAGCGCGCCGAGTGCGGTGCTGCGGTGATCGTGCGGCATGGTTTGGGTGTCGCTAGGTTAGGATGATGGGTACTGTCGGACAGTGCTTACGGGATTGGTGAGCGTGCCTCGTGGGGTGGTGGTGCAGACCGCAACCAGACTGCGGTGTGTTTGGTGCTGTTTTGGACTGGCTTGGCCATGTCAGAATTTGTGCATGTCAGGATTTTTTGGCCATCCATTATCTATCGTCATGCCGTACTTTTATCCTCCAGTATTTTACTACTACGGGGATCGAGCAGTCAGGTTGGATGCCCTGGCTTCATTACTCTCAGTATGTGACCACAGCAGTATGATCACCAGACAGCGTCGGGGGAGGGCCGACCTCTCGCCCGTCCCGGCTTGTCCTCGCCCCTCACCGCCGACCGCTCTCTTCGCAGGCGTGGCAGAAGGCACGCAACGAGGGCTGGGAGCGCTCGTTCTGCGCCAAGAACTTCGTGAGCAGCGCCACCATGGAGGTCGTGGTGGGCATGCGCACCCAGCTGCTGGGCCAGCTACGCGCCTCGGGCTTCGTGCGGGCACGCGGCGCCGGCGACATCAGGTGAGCAGGGCGCCGGCGACGTCAGGTGAGCAGGGCGCCGGCGACGTCAGGTAAGCAGGGCGCCAGCGACATCAGGTAAGCAGGGCGCCGGCAACATCAGGTGAGCAGGGCGCCGGCGACATCAGGTGAGCACGATGCCGGCGACATCAGGTGAGCAGGGCGCCGGCGACATCAGGTGAGCAGGGCGCCGGCGACATCAGGTGAGCAGGGCGCCGGCGACATCAGGTGAGCAGGGCGCCGGCGACATCAGGTGTGAGCAGGGCGCCGGCGACATCAGGTGAGCAGGGCGCCGGCGACATCAGGTGAGCAGGGCGCCGGCAACATCAGGTGTGAGCAGGGCGCCGGCGCCGTTCGTGGGAGATGGTGCTTCTTTATCGCCCAAGCCGTTGGGCGATAAAGTGGCGATGATATGATAGAAAGCGTATGGTAAACTTTGCCGGCTTTTCACGTTTGTTGTTTATGGTTATCATTATTGTGCTTTGTTTTCGTTTTTGTATTTCCGTTTTTGGTGATGATTGAAGAAGGTACTATGGAAGTTGCACTACAAAGGGTTGGTTGACGCTGCGTGCGGCGGGTACGACGCCGGCGCGTTCCGGGGGGTATTTGGTTACTGTAGTGTCGCAGTCGTCCCGTGCCAATGTTGGCGGCAGGCACTGACAGCTGGCTGGGCTCGCTCCATTACAGGGATCTCAACTCCAACTCTGAGAACTGGGCTGTGGTGAAGGCGGCCCTCTGCGCCGGCTGCTACCCCAACCTGGTGCGCGTGGACCGCGAGCAGGTGCAGCTGCGCACACAGTGAGTCCTGCCGGCCGGTCGGTCTCGTACTGAACGCGACAGGGCCGGCTGCAGCGGCTGGCTTCGCCCGAGCGAACAGGAGCGTTGTTTTCGCCGGATTTTGTCGTTTTCCGCTATGAGCTCCGCGGCGGCGGCGATGATTTACTCCGGGTCAAAGCAGTCGTGAGGCATGTCTGGCCTTCAGCCGCGATGTACTCTTGCTTAGATAAGAGCGATATGTTCGCAAACTGTTCGATTCGGCTCGTCAGTGACGCCGCGCACCAATGACGTCACCTGCCGCCTCCGCAGACGCGAGAGCCGCGTCCGCCTCCACCCGTCCTCGACGCTGGTGGACGCGCCCAAGTCGGCGCGCACGAGCGTGGCGCAGGCGCACCGCTCGGCCGTCGAGGCGCTGCCGGCCGACTGGCTGATCTACGAGGAGCTGTCGCGCTCGGGGCGCGTGGCGCACGTGCGCTGCTGCACGCTGGTCAGCCCGATCACGGTGGCGCTGATGGCCGGCCCGGCGCGCCTGCCACTGGACGCGGTCTCCGAGGCGGACGCCGGTACGGCGGCGGCGGGGTCGGACGGGGCAGGGGCTCATTCGGGATGAAGACTGATAGAGCGGCGTGTCTCGGTTTGGTTTTATCCGGACGTCATGTAGGACGATGATGGCGTTGTATGCCTGGCTTGCCCTTCATCTCTGTACTCTTGTAGTTATCATCCAGCGCAGCGCGGTGTATGTTTAAGCATTGAGTCGCAGCCTTTGTTCCACGAGGTCGTGAATTGCTACTTGGCGCGGCACGTGATCGTGTGGAATGTTAGCGTGCGTGCGTTACCTGTGGTCTCGCCTGCTGTCGTCGGCAGTGCTGCAGGGGATGCGCGGCGACTCCTACATGGAGGCCGACTCGGACAGCGAGGTGGAGGAACGCTCCGAGGGCCAGAAGACCATGCTCAAGCTGGACGAGTGGGTCGGCTTCCGTGTGGACACGGACGCGGCACACCTGGCACTCCAGCTGCGACAGAAGTGGCACTCGCTCTTCATCCGCCGCATGCGCGCACCCTCCAAGACGTGGTCGCAGGTACGCGCGTTGCCGTCGGTCTCTCCCCCCCCCCCCCCCCCCCCTCCACCGCAGCCGCGCTGACTGGCTCTGCGGCCTCATGGTGCTCCCGCCTGCCTGCCTGGCCTTGCGGCTGGCTTGCGTTGAGGGTGGCCGCTGAGTGCCGTCTTCGCCGGCAGATGGACGACAACGTGATCCGGACGCTGATCGCGGTGCTGACGACCGAGGAGCAGACGCTGGGCCTGCAGCAGCCGCCCGGCATCGGCCAGCGTCCGCGCCCCGTCATCAGCGACGTGTTCACCGCCGGCGGCCAGCAGCAACAGCAGCAGCAGCAGCAGCAGCAGGCGCAGCAGCAGCAGCAGGCGCAGCAGCAGCAGCAGAGGGTGTCACCAGATCAGACTGCCAGCCGTGGTCAGTACCGCTGGTGAACACCAACGGGCCGTACGGAGACGCGCCCAGTATCCCTGGCGGTGAGAGGTGATGTAATGTCTGCTGGCGCCTGTTTCCCCGCGCTGACGAACACCAGGTGGTCCTCACCCGTCCGTGGAAGTGTGGCTGGCCAATAGGCGACAGTTTTGTTCACCGTTCATGTAAGGTTCCCTATCTTGACGTCATGTCTGGGGCTCGCCACGCGCCTGCCCGGCTTTGTGTCACTGTTTCGGCCTGTGAAGCCTCCACGGCGCTGACGCGGTACGGCCTGCCGACAGAGAATCGGCCGGAGGGCGGCGGCGGCGGCGGCGGCGGCGGGCCGACGGCCAGCACACCGTCTCTCTCTCCGACCGTGGGCCCGCTGGAGAACGGTACGGGACAGGCTGCGTCCGCTCAGGTCTCGCTGTGTGCTACCTGCTCAGCTGCTGACGTTGCCACCCGCCGCCGTGCTCGGACTCTCAACTCGAGATACGTGTTCCGTGGCGTGCTTCGCTTCAGCTTTCATCATTGACTTTCCTGGTGATGAATGGTCGTGTGTAACGAGGCGCGTGGGCCATGTTCTCGGCGCAGCCTTTCGCAGCGACTGGGAGTCGCATTGGTGGCATGCCTGTGCCGCTGCATGTGGAATCCCCGAGGCCGGTGTACGCGGCCATGCCGCCGTCTCCGTCGCTGAGCCGGCTGGCCCGCTGACCGACGCGCCAACCCGTCCTCAGGCCAGCACGCGGCGCCCAACAGCTGCCGCTACTTCATCATCAAGGCCAACAGCACGCGCGCCGTGGACGCGTCCGTCACCAAGTGCGTGTGGGCGTTCACGCCGAACACGGAGCGCAAGCTGCTGCACAACTTCAAGGTGAGTGTCCTGAAACGGCAAGCGGGCGGACGCGTTGAGACTGTGCGTCTAGACTGTGCGACGCGTTGAGACTGTGTGTCTAGACTGTGCGACGAGTTGAGACTGTGCGTCTAGACTATGCGACGCGTTGAGACTGTGCGTTGAGACACGTACTGTGCGTCTGGAGGTGTCGGACGATGCCACGGTCATTGAGCCGGCTGCTTTGTGTTTCCTCTGAATCGACCCGACGCTGTTGTAAACCAGCAGCGACGCCGCCGTACTCCGGCGCGGTGACGCCGGGTTTGTAGGAGCGGGTCTCTGTTTGGACTCGGCTGAGCGTCCCGCTCTCGTGGCGATCTCGGCCGCGCGGTGGCGCCCTCTATACAGCCGTTGGCGTCGCCACCTGGCGGCGGTGTCGTGCCGCCCGTGCGGTGACCCGCTCCCCGGTCGGCAGGAGGGACGCACCGTGCTCCTGGTGTTCAGCGCCCAGGGCTCCGGTCACTTCCAGGGCTATGCCAAGTTCCTGGGCCAGAACTCTTCCGAGCGCTGTCCGGAGCTGCAGGGGCCCAACCTGGGCCAGTCGTACAAGGTGAGGCGCGCTTCGGCCGCGGACGTCGCGACGGCGCGACGAGACCGCCGCAGGGCGATCGTGTGGGACGCGGCGCGTGGAGGCGGCGGAAATGCCTGCGTGCTGACGTCATCGCCGCTTTGCGTGTTGTCACAGCTCCTCCGATGTTTGAAGGACGAGTGATGCTGTGAAGGGTGCGATAAAGATGGTAAATCCTGCTCGTAGGAGGTGCGTAGCCGTCGAGTTTTCAGCATGTCTGCAGGTGTGTGTGTGTGTGTGTGTGTGTGTGTGTGTGTGTGTGTGTGTGTGTGTGTGTGTGTGCGCGTGTGTGCGTGCGTGCGTGCGTGCGTGCGTGCGTGCGTGCGTGCGTGCGTGCGTGCGTGCGTGCGTGTGTGTGTGTGTGTGTGTGTGTGTGTGTGTGCGTGCGTGCGTGCGTGTGTGTGTGTGTGGGCGCGCGTGCGTGCGTGCGTGCGTGCGTGTGTGTGTGTGCACTCTTGCGTGTGATGTCTGCTTTGGAGACATTTGAGTCCTTTTAGTCCCACCTGGTTGTTCCAGCGTAGTTCGCGTGGGGGTGCGTGGCCTTGGCCAGTGATTCGCGTTAGGCCTCAACTCAATGAGAAGTCGCTTTTCGTTACGACGTTTAAGTTTCTTGAAGTGTTGAATGTCGTCTTTAATTTACATCTACGAATAAATTGTTATTTGTATCAAAGTGTTGCCAGGCCTCTACCTTTGGCTGGCGCTTGATATGGAATGCCCTGCTTATTGGGGCGGCCCATTATGTTCGCGCTACGAATACTCTGAAAACTGGTGTCCTATGCATTGCTGTGTGAGAGTGTTCGCCGCGACAGCCAGCGGTCCAGTGGCGGCTGCTGGCTGCCTGTAGACCCGCCCCTCTGGTCCTGCTCTGACTCCCCCTCCACGTCCTGCCGCCAGATCGAGTGGGTGAAGCGGGCCAACGTGCCCTTCCAGGCGACGCGTCACCTCATCAATCCCGTACAACGAGCACCGGCGCGTGCAGACGAGCCGCGACGGCCAGGAGGTGCAGCCGCAGGTGGGCGCGGCGCTGTGTCGGCTCTGGGAGCGTGCCGCCGCGCTGCTGCCGTTCGGCCTGGAGCCGGAGGCGGCCGAGCAGCCGGCGCCGGCCGCCGCGCCGCCGCCGCCGCCGCCACACGGCTTCCACCAGCAGCCGCCTCCGGCGCCGGCCGGCTTCCCGGGCCGTCCCATCCGCGGCAAGACGTACCAGCCGCCGCCGGCGGCGCCGCCCGGGCGCTACTTCGGCGGCCGGCAGGGCTACCGGCCGTGAGCCGCAGCTGAGCGAGAGCGCCGCGCCGCTGGCTGCGGCGGCTGGCGGGACCGCCGGCCGTGAGCTGCAGCTGAGCGAGAGCGCCGCGCTGCTGGCTGCGGCGGCTGGCGGGACCACCGGCCGTGAGCCGCAGCTGAGCGGAAGCGCCGCGCCGCCAGCTGCGGCGGCGGGGCGGCGGAAACGGCCCAGCTGGTGCCTGCGGGCTCCAGAGCGGTGAACGGGTCGTCTCGGGTTAGTCACGCGGCTCGCCGGGTCCCGTGCTCTGTGTCCCAGCGACTTGTCTCGAACAACCTGGCCGGATGTGTAATTTGGTGTGCCAGCTCACGTCTCTCTGCGTCTGTGCACGGGCTGCGACGAACCTGTGCCGGCCGCTGATGGTGTCATCGCGATAATCACTCATACTGTAACGGCGCTTGCCTGCAATTGCATCGCTGCCAAAGCTGGGTGCCAGCACCGAATTACCACTGCTCAGGTGGCCGTGCTATAGTTCGACCCTCATCGTGTTGATTTTACTTGCTGATGGGCACAGCAGTGGCGCTGTCCCGAGTCGCTTGACATGCACAGCGTAGCTCCGTCCCTGTCACCCTTCCTGCGGACAAGCCCACTCGAAAGCAAGGCGAAACGTCCCAGACTGGGCGCCGTCCGCGCGCGCTCAACGCCCCTTCCCTTGGTGTCCCACCGGGGCGCGATCTCTCAGCTCTGCCTGCGCCCCGGAGGTGACAGCCGGCCAGGCCGAGCGCGTGCGACGCGTGACGCGGGTCGCCGGACGAGCGGTGCCGCTCCGAGCCGGCCGCCAGCTCGCTAATCCGTCAGGGACATATGATAATTTGTCGTCCGGCCGGGTCGCCTGATAACCGCGTTTGGGCGGCGACGCTGCGACGAGACGCGTGGCGGAGCGGAGCGAATGCTGGAGCGGCGTTTATCTGCGACGTGTCTAATTTCAAGGATGCGCGTGGTTCAGGGCGGTGTTTGACTCATGGCAGCCTTGGTTGTGAATATCTGTATTTAGGCCATGCGCTCGGCGGGGCGCTGTATGAATGACATCGTGGCATTGTGCGTGTGTACTCTGTGGAGGAGTATGCTGCGGAGGCGAGGGAGGCTACTGGTGGATCGGGATGTCACAAAGACGCCTTTGTGCGATGGTGTGGTGTGTGGTGGGCGCGCACTGGCGGGGCAATGTGGCAATGTGCCACTGGGCTGTTCATGCGCTATCCGGCGACCGTTCGCGCTCGGTGCCTTGGCGGTCGTTGGATGTTGGTGCTTTGGCGGAGGCTGCGTCTGGGATGACCGGGTGCCGTCGGCTCGCCCGTCCTACAAACAGTGCTGTGACTCGGGCGGTACGGAGCCGTGCTCTCCGCCCGGTAATTCTTTCGCGGCCGGTGTGTGGAGCGTCGGAGCACAATCATAGAAGGCCTGCGTAGCCGGGCCTGGCTTTAAACCCCGACACGACCCGCTGGTCGGCTGCGCTCCCGTGACGCAGCTCCGTTGGCGGTGGCGGGCCTTGTGCAGTGCTCTCCGTCGTACCGAACCCGTTGTCTTTTCTAGTTAACCCATTTGAATTCTCTGTTGATTACAAGTTTTACCGTGGTTTCCCCCACTGTGTGTGTATGTGTGGCGCGGAGGAGAGGAGAGTGCCTGCTGTGTTGGGCCGGGCAGCTGGGCGCGGCCGTCGCTCGCTGAGCAAGGCAGCCGGACCCGGGCCGGCCCGGCCACCGCCGGCGCGGGACGCCAGCGCGGCGAGCCGGGGGGCAGCCGCTCCTCCGGCGGCGGAGGTCAGGGGTGAAGCCGCCCGTCAGCGGCGCGTCCTTCGGGCCGGCGACAGCCGGCGTCAGAGCGCGGCTGCTCGGGCCGCAGATGCGCCCGCGATGAGTCAGCCGGGCGGCCGGCGTAACTCGCGAGCGCGCCGCCTGAGTTACACCGCTCGGCGGCGGCGGGCTCCTCGGGCGGCGCGGAGGTCGGCGGTGTGTCAGCGCCCGGCCCGGCCCGGTAAACATCCTGCCCGGCGCGACCCCCTGCCCCGGCGCCGACCCGCGCCACAGATGTATGTGGCGCGCCTCCCGGCCGCCGAGTGCACCAGACGCGTGTTTTCACCACTCCAGCACGTGGTGGCAGAGTGCGGCTGTAACTCAGCACGGCGCACCGACGTGGTGCGCCCCGGTGACGTCACGCCGCTGACTGGGAGCGTAACCGCTCTTAAAAGGTCGCGGGGTCCAATCTGCTTTGATGCTGCTCCATGTGGCCAAAACAGAAATAACCCAATCATCCCAAACGTTACTGGGGTCGAGACCCCACCGATCCCCTCTGGTGTTTACGTCCATGCCGTTGTCTCATGGCACTGCGTGGTGGGGCAACAGGCCTGCCACCTCCGGGAGGGATGAACCGATCGCGAACAAATTCGAATGAAGCATTGCTCATGCTGGTTCTGATATCTTAAAGCAGGGCGTCAGCTGTCTTCGGTGCTGTTTAACGATAGCCCCATCATACAGTTCACTGGCATTTCTTTCGAACGTGGGAAGCAATCTTGGCGTACACCCGCACTTTTCCGCGGGGCGTGAAAGTCTCATTGTTTACCGGTGCGCCACACCAACACGAGTACCTCCATCTACCCCGCGCGCTACCCCACCCCGTGCACCCACACACACGGTTGCGTACCGCCGGGAGCATGTTGGAGCACCGGAGGCGAGCTCGCTGAGAAGCAGCGCCGGTCACGCTGGCGGTGTGATCGGAGCCGCGCATGTGACGTGCCGCGGTCGTCCAGCGAGCACGCACACACAGCTGTGGCGCAGTGCCCCAGGTCGGGCCCACCTCGCGGCCTGCACTCGATCATCGGCAGCCTTCGACGTGGTGACACACAACAGATTTACGGCATTGTTTCGTGGCCGTCCGTGAGATATCGGCCGGTAATGATGCGCTAATAAATGCGCACGCGGCCCCCACCTTTGATGAATGGGTCCCATTATGAGCGGCGGAGGGGGCGGCACCCCTCGGTCCGGGGGTGCGCTCACCATGGCCGCCCAGCACACGGAGACGGGCGCGAGCTTTGCTATGAGAGAGGAGCGCAGCCTGCTGACGCACGGCTGTGATACGAGACTCGTCCCAGCGTGCATGCTCGGATTTGTCTGAGGGGAAGGCCTGAGGCAAAAAGGTCGAGTTCAGTGAGCGTGGACGAAGTTGTGCTCATTGGGTTTGGCGTGTTATTAAAAGAAGGATTATCCCCTCGGCTTTTGGGACTAGGTTTTGCAGTCTCGTATGCGATCGGTGTTGAATGAATGTGCCGTATCTGTATGGGAAGGCTGTCATCTTACATCGGGCTCACATTGCTCGCGAGAGTTACAGTGATCCCATGCACAGCCCGGCCGGATTGAAGCCCGAACAGGGCCAGGGTTAATTCCAGTGCTGGTCACGGTGGGAACCCTTCACTTTCCCTGGGGTCTGCAGCTGCACTGTCTCTCCATCCGTAGGTGGCCGGAGCCAGCTCGGGCCTCGCGCCGGCGGTCATCGGCCTGCCACTGTGCTCGAGCGCCGCCGCGTAGCCCTGCGGTGGACGGCAGCTGTCGGTGTGCGGGTCGACACGGGACCCCCGCCATCTCCGCGCTGTGCCGACGGCCCTGTTCCCAGGGAGCGACGCCGCGGAGTGCGGCCCCGCCACCCCCGGCTGATCCCGCCAGACGTGCATGTCCAGCGCGGCGGTGCGTCGGCGAAAGTCTCCCAGAGAGGATTACCGCGGGAGGTGCACTCCGACCGCGAGCTTTTGGCCGCCGGAATCGCGTGCGACCGCGCTGGGGACGCGACGGCCACCCGCGCCTCTCGGCCGGCCAGGGACGCGCCGCCGGCACTTGATACCATCGCCATCTGGCGGATTACCGCCCGTACTGTCAATCGGGATCTGGCCGTCCTTGGCTGTTGAGATGCCACGCATTCTGTTAAGACGCAGCGTCCCGAGCCAGGCAGCGCGTAAACACGCCTGCGCCGCCAGCTGCTGTTATCCTGGCTTGGAGGCCTTCCGGCACTGCCTCCACTTACCCTTGGCGAAGGATTTGGCGACGGGGACGCGATGTTATTCACGCCCATGATGACAATACAGCAATCAGCTGACCGTAAGTTCCACACGTCAACAATGGGCAAAATAGTGTCTACGAGCATTGCTTCTTGAGGCAAAACCTTCCTATACGCGAGCTGCCACGTGTGCTCAACGTGCGAAGAGCAATCTGAGCACCTCTCTGACAGATGATAAGATAATTTATTTTCAAATCGTCTTTCCTGCGTTATCCTACTTTTTTTTAAAATTTGTTCCTGTTCCGTTGTTGGCAGGGTGACACGTCACTTGAGGCATGCTATTAAAATGTAATCTTACTCGTGACTCGTCCTCGCTAAAGGTCCACTTTTGCAGACTTCTCCAGGGACGCTGTCCTCGTGAGACACCCCCACCGCCCGAGACGTCTTCGTGAGACGCGTTGTCCTCCGAGACATGCTCATCCTCGTGAGATCTTCCCGCTCGTCTTCCCGTGAACGCCCTACTTCCCATCGTGAACCGCCTCGTCCTGGTGAAGGGTCCTCCTCCTCCCGAAGCGTCGCCTTCGTGGGGCTGATTTTCCTTCTTCTTGAGGATCGTTCTAGCCCACTTATGGGTCGCGCTTGGGTTTCCTTGTCTTCGTGGGTCCTCCTCGTCTCCTTCTTCATGTGACATGTTTGCTCTTCGCCTCCTGAAATGCATTGTCTCTGGGCCACTGATATTAAGAAGACTGAGAGAGCGAGCATGCGGTGGCGCGCCGCAACAGCCTTCACCAAGCCACACGGATGCATGGTTGCCAGCCACGCTCGGGGTGAAGGCGCCACGTGCAAGTGGCGCGCACGCTATCCGGTGCATGCGATGTAATTTAGCCTCCTCGGCTCCGAAACGGACCCCAGATCACCACATCATGACGCTGGTACGTGGCAGTGAGATGTTAGGCCCGTCGCTTAACGCGGGCAGGCGGTGAGCTCTGTAAAATATGCCTCATGGTCATTCCCACGCTGATGATGTGGGTGGCGTGCGCAAAATCGCCTCTTAAATGCGATACCCTGCATTCCGTTTAGGTATTGGTGAAATTGTGAAGTAATGGTGCTGTGAGATTAGAGTCCTTTTGCTGAGTTATCGACCTTCAATATACGAAGAGGCACTGGTTAAACGACGTTAATTAAGTAACTATTTGTTATGTTAACATAAGTAAACGTTTT